ACGAACAAAAAAATTCTTCTTTGGTTGAAAAATGAAAAATTAATCTCGTATTTTCACTATTTGTGTTGCTTACTACTATTATGACTACTAATACTATCTTTAAATATCTCACGAATGCGTGAAAATCCATGTTTAACTAAAAATATTGTATTGTGAAACTCAGAAATATATATATATATATTTAGTAATCGAACGATAGCGATACTTCGCAAAGAGACGTTGGAAAACTCCACGTTGGAAAACATGGTCCCGTGAAAAATTTTGTAGTACGGTCGTGTACTGCTTTAGAGGACTGTCAGAAACATTATCGGGCTGATGTACGAAGGTATTGTCGGGTTTAGCGAGCAAGTTACGAGATCGCGATGCGGTATTACTGTGCTTTGCGAGACTCTGTCGAAGCTACAGCAACAATAATAAATAAATAGCGCGGAAGAAATTGGGAACTACGGAGAGATGTTCGATCGAGGATTAGCGGCTGGATCGACGCCGATACTATTAACAAACAATTTGATACCAAAATACTGAATGGGACGTGTCGATACGAAGTAAATTTTCGCAAGGTTATATGAATTTGTTTGTCAGGGGACAAACAGTTTATATAATTCCTCTGCTAACGATTTTCCGTTCGTATGAAGGCAAGAGGTCATTCAATCGAGTATTAAATGAAATTTCAAAACAAATGAATTTCGTATAAATGGATTTCTATCGCATCGAAATTTCATAAAAATGTAAAAGTTCATGGAATGTATGTTATACACAAAAATATTGTTGTTCGCGGATTATTTCAATGAATATATCATATTGTAATATTTGAGGTATATGTATGTATTTAATTTAATATATTATTTGAAATATATTTTATTTTATCAAATTTTATTTCAAATAAATATAATAAAACGAAAAATATTCATGTATGAAATATCATATGATAAATATTTCATTTGATAGCCGAGTAATGAAATAATTTGCAAAACAAAACCATATACTTGTTCAAATGAACGATTAAATAATAAATAAAATAATCATTCAATTATTCGAATCATTTAAAAAATCATTTATTAATTCACTGATCAATTATTGAAATAATCGTTTTTCAAATACGTTATTCAAACAATGGCCAGACCAATAAGAATTAATCGCAGACTTTTCATGAATTTCGCGGTGATATATCGTTCAACCTGTCCGTATCGACGATCCAATAATTAAATGTTCACCTGGTATTCAATCAAGAAACGGAAAACACTCTCGTTCTTGCTTCGAGAATGACGCCCTGCAATTTGCTCTCGCAACTTCAGGCAAGTATTTTTACAACGACGTTCCATGCTGTTTTCGTTTCATTTCTCGCAGCCTCGCGAGAATTACCTACGAGCAAACCGCGTAATGACCCGTGTTAGTGTTCGTTTCGCGGGTACCACGTGCACGCATGCAGACTGAAATTACCGAGCCGAAACGGACTATGCTCGCACGTGACACGTTGAAGTTGATTTTACGACTTGCTACGTTCGAAATAACGTGTAAACTCGATTCTTTGATGTGGCTGTTGTAACTACTGCGCTTCCGAAACGGAACCAAGGGGGCCTTGTTGCTAGATTGTTCGCAGCGACTTCATTGTTATTTTTCACATGAGCTGACGTCTCAGTGACGAGTTAATTTTGCTTTTACAATTAAAAGATAACTGAAACTTTCGTGCAATTTTATAGCTTTACAAATAAACGGGAAGTAGCTTGTAACGACGTTTATGAATAACTGAAGAATAACTTGAAATGAAGTTTAAACAGAAACTAGATTTCGAACTTTTTTATTGAGGGATGCGTTGAACATCATTTTTTTTACTAAAGAATGGAATGAATTAAAATTTACTCTAGATATTTCAAGGATTTTTGAATCATATGAAGGATCATCAATGAAGAAAAGTGTCAATTAAAACTGACTTGGGAAATGTTAATAATTTCCGAGTTATAAAAAATAAAAATTTCTTTCTTCTTTTTAATGTTCGTCTTTTTCAGAAGAAGAACAATTTGCGAAGGGAATAATTTAAGAGTAGTTCAAGAACTTTAACTCGAGAAGAATAATTTAAGAACATCATAAAAATTCATCGTAAAAAGTTTCAAGAATTCCCGAGTTCGTGAAAATAGTTCCGTTCTCGGTTGAAATTTCATTCCCAGCGAGATATGCTCAAAAGGAGAATAAATTCGAGGTTTAGAGGCATCGTACTTTCAAATTTATCAAATTCTACGCGGTAATAAAACTCTGGTCGTAATTCAAAAGGTATGCTGATTGGAAGGCAAACGTAGGACAATCAGTGCGACTATTCGCCTTTCCTTCGAGATACACTTAGCTTATTGAAGGGCAACGTTTCTCAAAGACGATTCGCTACTTTCGTTGTCACTTCCATTCTTCGACGTACTGCTTGTGAAGACCTTACGATACAGTTACGCGCTAATTTCTGTTATTTATACTTTTACATATTACCATACTTTACACAAGTTGATAAATAGAGATAATTGATACACATTTGCAATTTTCTTCTCTATTTCTTTAAACAATTGACGATTATAACGTTGATTCATTTGTTGCTCGACTTCATTGCACTCTTCTTCTTTTTATAAATTATAATGGTTGAGATGGATATATTCATTTATGTCTCGAAGATTCGATCAAGTCGAGCAATAATCACGATCTTACGAAGTACAGCGGTCATCATTAGATTAAACAGTGTTGGGTAAGATAGTATTTGAAATAAAGAATATTTACAGAGATTATTTTCCACACAGTCTTACATTGGTTAATTTAAAATAGTCTTTTAAAATCATCTGTTTTTGTATCGATTGAAATATTTATTTGACTTTAGAAGTACTGACCATTGAGTTACGATCACTCTCAATTTTTAACGTCTTATATATGTCTTTATTTAAAAGATTTAAATATAATTTAATAGTCAATTTTATTAACTATCAAAGTATATAATATATTGGATAATAAATTCAATAAAAACTGTAATATAACTCACCGTATGTTTAGATATAATATAATAATTATAAATTTTTATAAGTAACCTATTAAAAATCAAAGTTATATTAACTCAACATTCATTTGCAACTCTTTTTAATCAAATTTTAATTTTTTAATATTGAAACTATCAAAGAAACAGGATTTATCACTTCTTCGGAGAAAAATATGTGAATAATTGTTCTTTTGCAATCCTTTTATTTTTCAAATTGTTTCAAAATAATATTTGAAATAATCAATCCACAGTTTAATCAATTAATTTTCGTAAATTCCTATTCGTACGTATTTCAAATAAATATTTTCACTGTATCTGTATGCATCACTGTCAAATGAAAGAAATTTTCAAACACTATCTTATTCCAACAAAAGTATATCAATTATTATTTCCAATACTTTCTACTTGAAACATGCCCAACACTGACAGTCAAACGATGTTTCATTCATATTCTCTGTGCGTATATAAGAATTTTTCAAATAAACTCAACCTGTAACAATATTTCAAACTCGATAAAGCAGATTCTCCGTAATCACACAACATTAAAACGTCATCAAACGTTCACTATTAATTTCCATGCACGATTCATCTCCGAGTTTTAATATCTCAAATAATTGAATTTTATAACCTATTACACTGAAGTTTCACTAAAAGTAAATCAGTCCAAGATGCACCAATAAATCGCCGAAATACGGTTCAATTTCTCGCGAGTCACCATTTTGAGAATCTTCGTATTAATTCTCGTCTTTTTTACACAACGTCACGAGCGAAAAATCGAAATAACGGAATGAGATATCGTGCAGACAAGAAAGAATAAAGAAGACTGTTTCAATTCCAGAGGAGTTTATTGTTCTTTTTTCCCTCTTTGATCGATCTTTCTTAGTCACGGATCGAATAGACTCCTTCGCGAAGATCGTGGAAGGATTATCGTTAATAAGATACGTTCCTTTGTGCAGCAGTCTTTATTACGGAGACGTGTTGTCCAAGTAGTTTGTCTTTGGCACGGCAATTATCCGCTTCTCCTTCATTGAAATCATCGATGTTAATTATAAGAATTTCACTTCGTTTTTCTTTTCGTTGAATTTCCAAGTCGTTCAATTATATTTCACGCAATGTTTCAAGCGACAGCATTCTGTGTGCAGAAGTAGAACGATTTTATTTCATTTTCGTTTCGTTGAATTCATGTGTCAATACTGTTTAATTAAATGGCATACGATTTTTGAAACGTGATAGGATTTTATACACGGATAAAGGAATTTATTTCTTTAGTTATATATTAGTCGATCAAATTTCACACGTAATAATTTTTCAAGTAATAACATTTCACATAGAAATGAATAATTTTATTTCGTTCTCGCGTAGGTTTTATATATCAGTATTATTCAGTTAAACTTCACACGAGCTTTTAAGTGATAATATTCTATGTAAAAAAACAAGTAAAAAGTATTACTTTGTTCTCTTTTCGTTGAATTCATTTACCAATGTTATTTAATCAATTTATTCATGATCATTCGACAATACTCTGCACAAAGATAAAAGAATTTTGCTTTATTCGATTTATATACCAATGTTGTTTAATTAAACTTTACGAGAGAATTGAAGTGAGTATCGTATACAGGAATTTAAAAAAAACATTACTTCGTTTTCATTTCGTTGAATTCACTTAGCAGTATTGTAACATTTAAACAAATTTCATACGATCTTCCAAGTAATGGTACTCTGTGCAGAAATGAAAGACGTTACTTCTTCTGTCAAATCTAATTTATACACCAATGTTATTTAATTAAACCTCACACGAACTTCTAAGCGATCTTCTAATACGGTGTTCTGTACAGAAATAACACGACACTTCTACCCAGAGGGAGTTCTATTCTTCTTTCCGCATATAGTCAACGTATGTCGACTATTTTCTCGGTTATCGTTTCGCGCAGAGTTAAGTAAGCGGAATGGCTGCGTTCTCGATACGCTCTCAAAGACCAACGACATCTGCGTCACTGGCCAAGCGACGTTTGATTTCGTTTCACAACCGATTACCAGCAATGTTTCACTCTTCCTGCGAACAATGTTCAAAATCAATCGCTAGAACGAAAGAAGTGGACCAGGCAAACACAGGGGAACATTTATAGTTGAGTTGATACTCGTAACGCGACTCTGGACCAAAGTTGCTTGCCCCTCTTTGGTACCACGATCACGAGGGAAAGTAGCAAAAATCGTTCCTCAACGATTATAATACCATCGAAAACATTCTTTCCATTAATATCGATCTTCTCCGTTCTCTTCTCGCACCGGGCGAAAGAAGAGAAAAAGAGCAAGAGACCCATTGTTTTCAATCGTGATCTTTGTTCCCTTCTCGCACCATTGATGGTAGGTTAAAAAATGATCCTAGGCTCATTGGTCACCAGGTGAAAGAAAAGAGAAAAAGCAAAAGGCCGTTCTTAGCCCTTGAGAGGTCGTTTCCATTTTGTTCACAATCTTTTGTTATCTTCGTTCTCTCGACGCATATCGTATCTCTTACACCTGCGTCAACAACGTCAACTGCGTTCCATTCTTCATCGCGTCTTTCTCCCTCTGCACCTGATCTTTCGAATCGTTGCCAATGGTAATGTTCGATCGTGACGTCATGGTCACGGTGGTCGTGGAAGTTTTGCTGATCAGCAGCCCTCTCTCCGCGTCCTCGTCTTCCAGTTCCAACCTCGACTGGCCGGACACGGCCAATCGATTCGACTGTAGCCTCTCGGCGTTCGCCTTGTTTCTTCGCGGGAACACGCTGTTCTCGATGTGCAGCGTGGCGTTCACGTCCTTTCCAGCGGCGCAGGTGCACGCCTTCAGGAAGCTCTTCTTGAAGTTGTCGCTGAGAAACGCGTAGAGAATCGGGTTCATCGCACTGTTGCTGTAACTGAGGAAACCGGCGAGCAGGAAGCTGGTGATGGTGATCTTGCTCTGGCATTGCTTCGGCGGTGTGTAGATCAACGCGACCTGCATCAGCCAGTAGGGCAGCCAGCACAATACGTACACGGTTATCACGGTCAACACCAGTTTTGTCACCTTGCGGTGAGATCGTTTCTTTTCCTTCGATTTGTTCTTCGGGCCGACGGTCTGCAGTTTCCTTATCACCAGGAAGTAGAAGATCAGTATGAGGGTGAGCGGTATGGCAAAGCCCAGGATGAACGTGTACAGGGTGAAGGTGGTGTGACCCCCGCGATCGTTCGGCCAGTAGATGTTGCAGTTGATCCCCTTCTCGGACTCCATCGCGTTCGCGTACAGAATGATCGGGATCATGAAGAGGGCACTGGCGGCCCATGCGGTCAGAGAGACCACCTTCGAGATCAACGGCGTGCGGATCTTCGGCGAGGAGATCGGGTGACAGACGGCGATGTAACGATCGGCGCTCATTATGAAAAGGAAGATGCTGCTGGTGAACTGGTTGATGCTGGTCGTCGTCATGTACGCTTTGCACATGATCTTGCCGAATATCCAGCTACGCAGGCTCATCGTTGTCACCAAGAAGGGTATACCTATTAGGAAACACTCGTCGGCTATAGCCAGGTTCACGATGTACATGTTAGTCACCGTTTGCATCTTCGAGAATCGCAGAACCACGTAGATCACCAGCGTGTTCCCGAGGAGACCGACGATGCAGACGATGGAATAGAGGATCTGATTGACCAGCGAGATGATCGGCAGATCGGCCTCGCAATTCTGGATCATCGAGTCCCCCTTGCGATCGTAGTCGATCGCGCTCGTGGTTGTCTCGTAGTTTATTATCGTCGTGTTCATTTTGCCTTGGATTCCTTTAGTTCAACGAGCAATCTCTGTCCTTTCTTCCTTTCTTCTCGCTCGTAGATCTCTTCTTTCTCCTTTAAGAATCTCCTTTGCGGAGATTTTTCACGCGACAAATGGATGATTGGTTCGAGAGATTCAACCGCGATCACTCGTCACGAAGCGAGATTATCCGGACAGCTTGTCTTTCTCTCTCTCTCTCTCTCTCTCTCTCTCTCTCTCTCTCTTCCTTTCGCTTTTTTGTTTCAAACACAAACTGTCGGATGCCTTTTGGGAGTTAAATGCGTGTTCTTCGTATTCTATCGAGGATTGGAGGATAGAAGGAGGACAGTTTCGTCGACGGCGACGATACGAGGAACGAGGCCAACGTCATTCCGTCAGTCGAGGAACGATCGCGCTTCCGGGCACGCGATAACCCGGAAACCACCGCCAAACGTTCGCTTTTGCCTGTTTCCTTCCAGAGGGAATCTGAAACAAAAGAGAAGACAAGTTTTTAAGATTTCGTTGATTTCACGTTCTAAAGGTAAATTGACAATTTTCCCTTGAATGGGTGGATCTGGGATTTTTTATATGGCTCAAGGGACATATGAGCCTGTTGAAATAATGTAATTTTATCAACACAATAATAAAGGAGAAAAATATTTAGTTAATCTAGACTATTAAGGCCCAGAGGAGAATTTATCGTAATGTTAAGAATATTTAAATTTCTTTCAGTTGTAAACCATGGCTAGAAGAAATAACGACGTTATAAAAAGATATCCTGGAATTCTGTTTCCAATAATTACAATATTAAAAAGTATATTCGACAGTGGACACGGTGATTGAAAAAATATTGCAAATGAAACGTTGCGTTCGTGCAACGTCCAATAAGTTAATCTTCTATGGACTCTTTTTATATACAAACTCGTGCAATATGCAGATACATTCCTAGTGCAGCACTCTTTTCTAACTACGATATTTAACGGACAGAACATATTTCTGTTTAACTTCAATCTTTTTACATTTACTGACAAAAAATCTGAAATTGCGTAAGATTTTGCAATCTCTCCGCGATACGCTTTGAACAAGATACGCAGCATGTTTTCTTTAAATCGAAAGTTGAGATATTCCGTCCAACGATTCGATTGCAGTGATGTTGTAACAAATAGATAAATTGTAAACAAATAGATAAATAAAATGTTACAGGATGTTTTTTTTTATTACAATATTATTTTCTGTCACACGAAATAAATCAAGACACGATACTTCACTCCACAAAGCGTCATACGAACGATATTGTATTGCGAGATATCTCGTCTAAAGCGTCGCATGAATAACATTGAATTGTAAAATATTTTATTAAAAGTGTCATGTGAATGGCATTGTGTTGTAGGGTATCTCGTACAAAGCGAATCATAAACGACATTTCGTGACGAGATATTTCTTTTATACGCGTGAAGGGCTTAATCCTTTGTTGTCCAGAATATAAAAATCAGAAAATATAACTTCAATTTTCCTGTTACATATCCTCAATATTAATAATAGTAATATTTGAAACATTTGCATACTTATATTGTCGTATATTTTCTTACGAAGCATTTTTGATAGAATTCAATTTCACGGATTCTTCGAAATCTGAAAGGTTCTACCTTGTATTAGAATGCAATGAAACTACGCCAAAAGAAATCGTAGATCAATTTCCGGGAGGTCATTGTAAAGGGGAGATCTTCATCCACAAAATCATAATAAAACGAATATGAGAGTCGCTTGGTAAAATTTTGAAAGACATTAAAGCAGAGATGTTGAAGCAGAGACTCCGCTCTTTAAAATATTAAAATTTTAAAATCATTTAAAGCAGAATGTTCTACAATCTTTTTACGCAAAATTATAAGAGTATAAAAATCAATATTTTTACAATACAACGTTTCGACTGTGATTTTATATCTTTGCATCTTATTTGTATTTTATAATTTTCTATAAATACAATAAAAATCCGCACGTATTTCTGTGTACGTACATACATCTACATATCTGTGATATATCTATATATACAGACATGAGTTAATATGTATGTTTCTACATATAATCTCTCGCATTGTTTGTCAAATCCATATTTAAATTAAACTCCACTAGTTAGCTTCAAATTGCTCACATTATTCCCCAGTAAGCACGCGAATATCCTTCGAATTCGAATATCCTTCGTAATTAATTAATTAATCATACGTCTGCATGGTAATATGCAGACGCTCGTGCACCGCATTGTAAACAGGTTTTGTTAACGGGTTTTGTTATTCCGTGTAACGATCTCTCTACAATCAAAATTTCGAAAGCTTTTCGCATCGTGTCTGCTACACAATTAGCAAAGGGATATCAAATTGAATAAATACACGCATATATGTAAATTGAGACACCGAAAACAGCACAGTACACTGATTAATTCTTTGCCAATTAAATAGAAACAGACAGCAATATCGTGTTTTACCTAAGATTGCCAAGCAATGTAATTGTTGATTCAATTGCTGAAATATATTATTACTGGACGTACTTAGACACTTTGAAGCATTTGAACCTAGAATATATATTTATATATTCCTGATATATATCGTCGAAAATCGAGAATCTCATTGACAAGTTCGAACTAAGAACAGAAGGTTGGAGACGTCAGGTAGATCCATGTTGACTCGTGACTTGAGAATTCAACCGCAAGCTTTCCGCCGCGTTCGCAAGCTGAACAATTGGCTCTAGAAACTCGGGAACTCGACAATAAACTACACCAGGTGTTGCCTGTGGTTCCCGCCGATTATTTACGGGCAAAGAACAATTCCCTACGGAGCGAAAAGGGACACGAGTCCCTTTGGAGAACGTGTTCTGTTTTCTCGAACAGTGGCATTTTCGCACTTTCCTTTGGCCAATTCTTCTGCTGGTCCTCGAAACTTCGGTGCTTCGAAAATGGTCACGAGCCTAGAGAGTAATCAACCATGAAAGGTTTTTGCTCGAGAAATAAAGAAACTGACGAGAGTTGCTTTCGAAAAACTGAGAAGTCACAGGATAACTTGCAAATGGCGTAAAGAAAAACTTTGATTCAGACTTCGCCTTTTTTTTCGAGGAAAAGAAATTTAATTTGTAGATTTACCACCGATTGTAGAAAATGTACATTTGACAAATTTCTGATATTTAAAATAGAAAAAGAAGGGTTTTGAATATTTTCTGGACCACGTTTTCAATTCATTTATGCATTCTTTTAAGTAAATATAAGAAACATTGTTAATATTCTATAAATAGTTTAGTTTAAATTAATCGATAAGAATAAATTGATTAAGATCCATAAACTATTCTCTAAAATTTTTAAATATTAGAAATATTTAAAGAAACTCGACACATAAATTTAGTATTATAAACCGCTTTTTGAATTTAGAAACGCGTTTAAAAGGTATAATAAAGTGAAGCAGATCCTCTCCAAGAGCCGAATCTTGTGACATATAAATTAAAAATTACAAAGTGCTCCGCTTTATTCGAAAACGCGTTTAAAGTGAGATAGATTTTTCTAAAAATATTTCTCGCTTTTTAGGAGGGAGACAAGATTTCGTTACGTGTAAATTGGAAATTTATCTCACTCGAAAACGTCGCGCATTTAACCATTAAACGACAATAGAAGTTTTAATCAATCGCATAAATTAAACTGACAATGAGTATTCTCAGAAGCTTCTTCGCGGATGAATTCATTTCTGTAATTAGGAAATTGCCCGCTCTCTACTCGAGGAGAACAAAACAGAATAGTGTAAGATTCCTTTGTAAAATTCATAAAGGAGACGTTCCATTAAGTTGACTTCTATTAAAACGTCTACTTTTTTTTTTCTGCGCCGTCCTACTGAGAGAAGTTGATTCCATGAAAGCGACACGTTCTGCGCGCAGCACGGTCCGCTACTTTGCATAAGCTCGCATCTGCAACCGTAACGAACGGAAACAATGAGAGCCTCGATTCATATTCGCCGCCATAAATACGCTGCAGCGTCTCTGCATCACATCTCCACGCCCTTTTTCGCGAATTTTATCAACCACTTCTCCGCTGAACAACGACGAGTCGTCATTCGAACGCGTTTGCTCGAGAACCAATTCAAAGCTGCTCTCTTTTCTTCTTTTCCTCCTTTTAAGATCTTTCTTCTTTCTTTCGTTTTCGTCTTATTTAAACGTATGCAAGATCGTGGATGTAATTCGTAAATTTGTGCCTTGTTGGTTAAGATCCAAAGTAGAAACTGAAGTTTATTAGAACGTAAGCATCAAGAAATGTATCAAATTCCAAGCTGTTGCAAGTTGTTCAGAGTTATTAGACTGGAAATATCGTGATTTGGAAAGCGATTGAAGTTAAGAACACTTCGACTTCTACAGAAATACATTATAATTTGATAACGATCTCGAATAAGTTGCATGTTGCATTTGATCGAAACACTATTACTATGTTACATATTCGTCGAAATTGAGTTAACGTTTATGCATGATTCTACAGTTTGTGAAGTTTTAGTGCACGTAGGTTGCAAATATGTCAGATATCGATGTAAAATAGAAGAGGTTTAACTGCGGTGTTTTGGAATGCAGTAAATTCAAATTCGATACAAATAATTACTATAATACGCAGCATAATAAACAATATGTAACAAATATGAATATGAATACAAATATGAACGCAATGATATACATATAACAAATAAACATACAATATTCATAATAAAAGTTACATATAAATATAATATAAAATGAAAATAATGTATATAGTAATAACTACAGGATATTGTCGTTCAATTTGCTTGAAAATATTTTACGATCGCCAATATTCCAAATCAAAAACACAAACTCCTTGTTCCGTTTATTTTCGTCGAGTAAATTAAACGGATCTCGTTTGAAATCCGCGATGGTTCCTCGAAAGATCGTCATTATCGGTTGCAGCGCGAGTATTATTATTAGAAAAGCTTGCGTTATTCATAAAAGAGAAATGAACTTCGTTCCCGTTTGACTCGCTTCGCGTGTACGCCAGTTTCATTAAGCGCGAATCATTATCGGTATCCAATGGAAAAGGTTATCCGTGCTTTTATCGCGGCCACTGCACTGAAACATTGTTCGCCAGCCGCTTTTTCGACCAAAAGTCCATTGGAACTCGCTAACCGAACGACGAGATAATCGCCAAGATTTATAGAACACACTTTGAACCAATCGACACTGAC